TTCTTTGCGTTGATACAACCAGCACCTACTTTAAACAGTCAGGGGTTTTATTACTTATTTTCAGTTCAATTTTTTTAAGGTAGTTTATGTTTTGGCCTCATCACGTAAAAAAAGAAAAGAAAAACAGAACAATAATAAAAGAAAACTACCATTTCTATGTGAAGGGGATGTGTCTCCCTCACATATATATATATATATATATATATATATATATATATATATTTTTATCTATATAGAAAAATAATCATGAAATACTAGTTTACCCAGATCTGTTTCTATTTCATTGTGAACAAATCCATTCCACTTGATTAATAGGAGAATACTCAAGCCACTAAAAGTCCACTCCAGGTTTTCCTGGTTACCTACAATAACTCACCGCACCACATGCAGTGTTTCCTCTAGGTCACTTGACTTGGCACTCATCTCTTTGGGGCTTTTTGTTGACAAGGTGGGCGGAGAAGGGAGAGAAACTTTTGTGTTGCGCGCTAGCTTAGCACAACGTTAGTGCCGGCAGTTGTCAACCAGTGGGGGTGGAGTTGGGTGGGTGGGGTGGTGGTGGTGTGTGTGTGTGTGTAAGGATGCATGAAAGAAGCGGAGCATGCTCTATTCACACAAGGAGAGCTGTTGGTCAGACTATTTCTTGCTGTGCCATGCTCTCGAAAATAGTTATTGAATCGTTTACTTATATAGGTAAATGTATATTTTTAACAACCCGTTAAACTACAGTAGTCCCTCATTTATTGTTTAGCTCTCTGCCTCCGGCTGCACTCTGCCATCTGCCAGCTCTCTTGGCCACGCCCACTTCTTCGCTGCAGAGCAGAGCTATGACACGCTGCAGGACGAAGCATTTTCTGCAGCTGTGGGCTGCACACAAGTGAAACCGGTGCAAAATAATTTAAAATAATTTATTTTAAATTTTAAAAAAATCCACGCTGATCATGCAGCTTATCCATCAATCAGCCAATTGTGTGTCATGTCCAATCTTACTTTGAAAAACCACGATCATGTGAGTCCACGTAAAATGAAGTGCGAAGTAATGAGGGACTACTGTACACAAGAATACAGGAAATGGAATCTACTTTATTCAAAATTTTCTGGGGAGGACCCCCAGACCCGTCCACCAGTGTTTACCCCCCACCACCACATTACAAACGCTTCTGATACCAATGCCTGCAGCCCACAACAGGTAACTGCTTTTACTAAAAGAAAAGGAAAAGGCCAATGCAAAAAGTTTCATTGAGGCTTTCCAACAAAACTGTTTGTTTTGTTAGGTGACATTTATCCTAGAGGGATAATTAACTGTTAAATTTATTTAAAAAAAACATTAAAGAGTCATGGAGGAGGTAAAGGCCAAAAGAAAAGTGCACATTACACGATGACAGTGAATATTTGTTTCAAAGACAGTTTGTGACTAAAAATACAATAAGAAATGAGTCATTATAAGGTTCCAATATAATGGAACTCGTCACTTTAAAAAACCAAAACCTTAAAATTCAAAATCAGTTTTAGTAAAAACAAACAAACATGTTTTGCTGTTAGTCCATCAACCTTTAGAGCATCTTTTTGACTGTTTCAAAGGCTGTTTTTGTGAACAGCACCTTGAATTGGTCTCTGCCTTTAAAGCAAAAAAAACAAAACAAAAAAGAAGCAAGAAAGTTCCTTTCTTGATGCTTGAAAATGATCAACTTGTTGCTCTGGGGCTGTATAATTTGCTGTGATGGCATTAATCAATGTTGCACAGCAGGAGATAACAGAGCCGAAAACGACAACGTGAACAAGAACATTAGTCAGTGAAGAAAATGAAGCATTAGCTTTTTGTCCATAAGTTCAATTCAATTCAATTCAGTTTATTTATATAGCGCCAAATCACAACAAAGTTGTCTCAGGGCACTTTACAGAAAGATTCACATACATAAAAGCCAATTAGTAAAGTTATCTATCTAAGGAATCCAGCAGACAAGTTGAATTGTGGCTTCATTGCAGTCTCCCATCCTGAGCAAGCACAGTGGCAACAGTGGAAAGGAAAAACTCCCTTTTAAAGGAAGAAACCTCCAGCAGAACCAGGCTCAGGACAAGCGGCCATCTGCTTTGACCGGCTGGTTGAGAGGACAGGAAGGAGCGAAAAAAACACAGTCATTGAATATGACTAGGGAATAGTGTTCATTCTCACTGTGTATCAAAATAAAATACATTAAAAAAGACGCTGAATGATATTCTTTAAATGAGAAACTACTTAGGTTGGCACAGTACATCAAATAAGCTCAAATGCTCTTTTTAGCTCCAGCTGTGAAAAGGTAATGGCAGACATAACGTTGCTTGTGCTTTATTTTTGGCCTTTAAACAAAGTGTCATATGAACCACTGGATGGAGTCAAATAAAATTTGCAGAAAGTAACTGATCTATAACTGATTAGTTTTTTAAAACAAACCCAATTCAAGACAGCTACTGTCATGGAAAGAATGAAAGGTCATGAAAAATGTCCATGATGGCTGTTGATTTTGGTCTCTGATGTTTTTCACTGGAAATTGGGTTGGAACCAGAGAGCCTTTGCCAGATATAAATAATAATAAAAAAAGTAATTACTCAAAAATAAAAAATAAAAAATAAAAATATCTCATGTAAGAGTGGGAGATCTCTCAGTGTAAAGGTATGCAAGTTATCAATTAAAACTTGTGGTACACTGATGTCCTCTGTCACTGAGGTATTTAAATAGTGAATGTTTTAGATATACTTTATAGATGAGTGTTTATCTGGACTGGAATTGAACAGGAAAGGCAAGTATATCTAACATCATGTTTGTGCTGCAAGATGATCAGCATCTTGATATGCCACACCTGTGAGGTGGATATATGAACTCAGCTAAGGAGAAGTGTTCACTAACATGGATTTACACAATTATGTGAACAATATTTCAGAGAAAAAGGCCCTTTATGAATGTATAAAAAGTCTTAGATCTTTGAATTAAACTCATTAAAAATGGGAGAAAAAGCAAAAGTGTTGCGTATATATTTTTGTTCGTAGTGTATATAT